GGTGATGCTGCTGCTGGTGATGATGATGCTGATGCTGCTGCTGATTATAATGATGATGATGATGATGATGATGATGATGGTGGTGGTGGTGGTGGTCGTGGTGGTAATGGTGGTGATGATGATGATGATGATGATGGTGGTGATGATGATGTTGATGATGATGATTCTGATGCTGCTGCTGCTGATGCTGCTGATGAGGATGAGGATGAGGATGAGGATGAGGATGAGGATGAGGATGAGGATGAGGATGAGGATGATGACGATGATGATGATGATGATGATGATGATGATGATGATGATGATGATGATGATGATGAGGATGATGATACTGATGATGATACTGATGATGATGAGTCGGAGGAGGAGGAGAAGGAGGAGGAGGAGGCCACTTGTTTCACACGCCTCCTCGCCCCCGGCAGGCGGGCGTCAGCGGCGCTGTCTTGTCACACCTCCCAGGTCCAGACGCGTGCCAGGCTACAGGGCTGCTTACCATCGGCTGCGATTCGATGCGCTGGCTGGGGCCGCGATGCCGAGTCGGTCCACTCGGTCCGATATACCGGCGGCATTCCCAGACGGCGCCATCGCGAACCGTGCATTACGAAGGGCGGGGGGGGCGGGGCTGGTGACGGGCGTCATCGCGAATCATGAAAAAGTATCGGCTCCACTGCTTCTTGGGCGAAGCCCAGAGACCCGATGCCGTGATATCTTGCATGCGCGGGCCCCGGAAGTCTCGACCCGCCCGCGGGGGCCGGCTTTTCGCTCCGATTTGTATTTTGGGGGTCCCGGGGCCCGCCAAGGGCTGCCAGAGGCTGAGACTGTGGAAAACCTCGGTCTTTTGTTGTTGTTGTTGTTGTTGTTGTTGTTGTTGGTTTTTTCATCACACGGCAACTTGTTGCGCGTGTCGGAAAACAGGGTCCGCGTCAGGCCTTGGGTCATGTAGTGAAGTGAGGGGTTGAATGGCTGCAGTAGCATGGGGATGAGAGTGAGTAGAATGTTGAGCACGCGAGCCTTCGGGTCAAGGTCCGGGGGGGCCTTCAGCATTTGTTGGCCCACCCCCCCGCCCAACGGGGGAGCTGCCTGGTGCTCACGCCCTGTGGCCCAGCCCAAGGTGTGCACCCCAGGACAGGACTCGGCGGACAGGGGATGGAACCCTGGACGCGCCATGCATTCGCTCGCGCCACGCGTGCGGATTCGAGCACAACACACTTTTTCAAAAACATTCCTCACACGTGCGACAAACAAACGGCCTCAGGATTTTCAAGCGGGGAAAGTTGGCCCCCCGGCTTCCGCTGCACGCAGTGGACCTCCATAACGTGTTGTTGGTCGAACGGTTTGGCGTACAGGAGGTGAGGGAAGGACGTTTGAAGGTTCGCGTTATTGACAACTTCGCCAAACAAATCGTAAATGATTTCGCTTCCGTATGTGAGGGCGTATTCAATGACACGCACGATCACTTCACGCACGCAGCCCTCGCTCTTCTACGCGGGGCGGACAGGGTTAAAGCAGGTAAAGATGATTTCGTTGGTGCGTTCAAAGCGGTTTGTCCGGCGGACAGCCAGGCGTGGTTGATGTGGTGCCTTGTTTACGACACGGATGCAGATCGGTGGCGGGTTTCAGAGTTGCTCACGCAGCCGTTCGGCGCCATCAGCGGGGTGTATGGTTGGTGGCGATGTGCACAGGCCATCAAAGCCATAGCAAGGCGATTGTTTCGCCTTGTGCTTTTCATTTACGTGGACGACACGTTCATGGTTGATGTCCAGGGAAACGCTGACCAGGCAAAACTCATGTTCCATGAGCTAGTGCGTCTCTTGGGCTGGGAACTGGACGCAGAGAAATCTGCCGGCATGTCTCGTTTCATTCCTCTGCTCGGGTGCCGCGTCACCGTGTCCAGCGATCGCGTGGCGTGGATTCTTAGTGAGGACAAGGCAGAATCTTGGAGGAAAGACGTGTTGCAGGCGCTACAGGACAACGTCCTCTCCCCAGCAATGGCCGCCAAAATGGCAGGTATATTTACCTTCGCATGCAGTCGTGCCTTCGGGCGTGTCGGGCGTGCGTACATTCGCCCACTGTATTGGTGCCAGGCTGCGTCTGGTGTGAGTTGGAATTTAACGCGCCGGCTGAAGCTGTGCCTGCAATGGTGGGCGGTGGTGCTCGCGTCCTCGCCGGGGTGTCAAGTCCGCGTGCAGGAATTAATGCATTCTCCTTTTGATGCAGTCATGTACACGGACGCCGACGGCACCGGAGGCGTCGGGGTCGTAGTCATTTGGGGCCAGGACGAGCGGCGTGAATACGCCATGGGCACTGTCCCGCACGGGTGGAGACACATCCTGAGGAGACGGAAAACACATATCAATGCGTATGAACTGTTGGCCATAACTGGCGCTTGGAACACGTGGTCTAAAGATTTTTCGGGGCAGCGCATTTTGTGCTTCATAGACAACATGTCAGCGTTGAACATATTGGTCTCAGGATGGTCTCGTCGCCCGGATTTGAATGCGATCGCAGGATCGTGCTGGCTTGCCGTATCGAGGGCGCATGCTCTCGTCGAGTTCGCCTACGTGCCCTCTGCAGCCAACCCCGCGGACTGCCTGAGCCGCGGGGTGCTCGGGCGTTGGGCTGCCAGCCGGCGCCGGGCCATCAAGTGGCCAAAACTTGGAACAGGGTTGGCGTGACGCCGGCCTGATACGGAGAGGGAGAGACAGAAAGGGCCACCATTTCATCTTTTTTCTTCGTTGTTGCTTCTCTCTGCTGTCGCCTTGCTCTCCCGGTCTTCCTTTCCCCTCCCCCTGCCCTTCCTTCCCCCTCCCCTTGTCCCCCTGTCCTCTGTCCCCCTCTGTCGCCGCTCCCCCTCCCCTCGTCGCTCCATTCCGCGCGCTCCGAGTGCGCTGGCGTGCTCGGCGTGCTCCTCCCGCGCGCGCAGGTACATGCTTGTCTCGTGTGTGTGCTGTGTTTCCCGGCTGTGCGGGGTGAAATTCCGTCCCCGCAAGTGAATGACTTTGCATTCCCATTCCACGCTGCTGCTTGTAATTGTGCGGCCTTAAGATCTTTAACTTGCCGCAGAGTCGCCCGCCGAGGAAGTAGGCGTAACCTCAGTTTTCGGTGTGCCGGCCTATCCTCTGTGTTAGGCGCGGCAGACGAGCAGAGAGGTGGCTTTTTTCCCGGAAAGGGCGCAGGCCCAGGGTTCTCCTTTTGCTGTTTGGCCCCGGCGCCTTGCCTTACATGTTTTTTTCCCCTTTCCGGGTTTGTGGGTCGATCATGTTCACTGGACATCCCTGGGCCTATCCAGGGGCATCTCGCCAGGTACCGTGCCTTGTTGTCTGAAGGCGTGTTCGAGACACGCACAGGGCATGGCGATGTGCGCCGCGCGCCGCGTCGCGTGGCTCGAGTAGTCCCGGGCCGCCTGCAGGGCCCCTCCCGCATGGCCGGACTGAGGCCCATCCGCCCGGTTGGGCTGCGCCGCGACGACCCCCCCGAGGCGCCTCTCCGAGGCTCGGTGGTGCCAGTGCGCCGGCTTCCGCGGCGGAGCCGCAGCCCGAGGGGGAGTTCCGGCGCTTCCGCAGGGATCTCTCGCGCTGGCCTGCACAGGCCCAGCATCGAACACGCCACGTCCAGGCCTGAGTTGCCCCGAGGCCTGGAGAAGGAGCGCGGCGCTCCGCGCGAAAGCGCTCTTGTGTCGCCTTTGCGGCCTAAACCGAAAGATGGCCAGGTTTGGATTCAGGTGGTGTCGCAACATTCCACGGCCTTTGATGTCGCGCATTGTTTCCTTGACTACTTTGACGAAGTTTCGCGGTGCAGATTGTTGCGTGGGCCCACCTTTGCCGAACGCTTCTCTGCGGTATTCCCGAGTACCGGCACACCGCGACAAAGATTGGCGGTCCTGAAAAGGACCCATGCCGGCGCGAATGCGTCCGAACTCCAGGAAATGCTTTTCAAAGAAAACTCACGCCGCCAAGCGTTGGAAACGATTAAGGGTTCGTGGAAATCGGTGCAAAGCGCATTGCTCGCTTGGGGTGAGTTTTGCGAATGCTTTCGCATGACGCATTTCCCTGTCACGGTCGACAGCGCCAGGGCTTTTGCTGCGTTTGTGCCTCACGGCCCCACTCTGGGCAAGTATTTGCAGCACCTCCGTTGGACGCATAGGTTTCTGGACATTCCCAATGTATGGTGGGACGGTGGCCTGCCACAAGTGATCAAAGGGGCCACGCGCAAAGTGGCCGGGCGCGTCGCCCGTCCCGCTCCTCGCGGAGACGCTGTCCGAGCTATGATCTCGAAGGCGGATGCCGACGGGAAGGTCGAGCTAGGTGATGCGTTTGCTATTGCTCGGGGCTTCCTGTTCCGAGTCGGTGCCGAGCTTGTCCCGCTCAGGCGCGGTCCGTTCCAGAATGGCAAGCACTCGGGCATTGTTGTCCATGGCCAGGAGGCGGCGGTCACTCTTGCCTCGCGCAAGAACAGCGTTGACCCTGTGACCCTGCACCGGACATGCACGTGCGACACGCAAGGACGGCGCATGTGCGCCGTGCATCGGCTCGCTTGCGCGGTCGAGCGGGCTCGCCGCGCAGGCCGGGATCGCGTTCTCTCCTTTGGCTATTCCACTTTCTTGCGCGAAACGCGGACGTACGTCAGTGCTGCGACGGGAACCCCAACGGGTACCCATGCGTTCCGTAGGGGCGCGGCGCAGGATATGGCCGCGCAGGGGTGCCAGCTATGGGAGATTTTGGCAGCCGGCGGCTGGAGGTCAGCGGGCTTCATGGCTTACATGAAGCCCCATGAGCTGGAGACGGGCGCTTGCGCTCAGCTCATAGTGGACCACAGCGATAGCGAAGAGGATGCTGCGTAGGGCGCCACGTTGGGGATCTGCGCGCCCAGCCAACACGTCGGGTGCACACCTTGGGCTGGGCCACAGGGCGTGAGCACCAGGCAGCTCCCCATCGTCGGTGCCAGTCCTGTCATTCATGTCCCCCCCTGCCAGCGCTGGCGCGCCCGGCGGCAGCGTTCGAGGCCTGCGGGGGGATCTCTGTTTTCATCGCACGGCAACTTGTTGCGCGTGTCGGAAAACAGGGTCCGCGTCAGGCCTTGGGTCATGTAGTGAAGTGAGGGGTTGAATGGCTGCAGTAGCATTGGGATGAGAGTGGGTAGAATGTTGAGCACGCGAGCCTTCGGGTCAAGGTCCGGGGGGGCCTTCAGCATTTGTTGGCCCACCCCCCACCCAACGCCATTTCGGCGGTGCCCGCGCGGGGCCCACAGGGCGTGAGCACCAGGCAGCTCCCCATCGTCGGTGCCAGTCCTGTCATTCATGTCCCCCCCTGCCGGCGCCGGCGCGCCCGGCGGCAGCCTTCCAGGCCTGCGGGGGGATCTCTGTTTTCAATATGTTGGAGTCGGGCATGCCCCTCTGCAGGAGGAGTGTTAAGCAGTGTAGAAAATGGTCTGGTGACGATTTGCCGTTTTCGTTCACTTTTGCTCCAGCATCCCCCTGTAGGAGGGCATGCCCGACCTCACAGTGCGTTGGACTTTTGGGAGCCCGCGGTCCTGCCTCCCGCCGACGCCATGCAGCCGCGCCTCTTCCGGCAGCGGCTGTTCGAGCTCGCCGCGGAGTGCGAGGCCCTGTGCGCGGACGCCGCCTGGGCCTTCCGCGGCAGCGGCCGCTCGGCCGCGGCGGGGCCTGCGGGCGGCGGCCGCCCGCCGCAGGAGGCCGTCGGACCCCCCCCACCCGGCGTCTGGGGGCCCTCCTCCTCCTCCTCCTCCTCCTCCTCCTCCTCCTCCTCCTCCTCCTCCTCCTCCTCCTCCTCCTCCTCCTCCTCCTCCTCCTCCTCCTCCTCCTCCTCCTCTCCTCCTCTCCCTCCTCCTCCTCCTCCTCCTCCTCCTCCTCCTCCTCCTCCTCCTCCTCCTCCTCCTCCCGGGCCTCAGGGCCCTCACGAGAGCGACTCGGGAAGGAACGCGGGTCCTGGGTAACATGTCCGGTGCCCAGGCCTTCCCGCCGTCGCGAAAAAGTCGTGACGGGAAGGAGGTTTTTTACCATCGTCGGCCTCCATGGGCCCTCACCGGGACTCGGGACCGTCGAGACACCGGTCCCGGGGAAGGGGTCCAGACCTCTGGGTGTCGACGTTGCGAAAAAGTTACGACGTCGGGGGTCTGGGTATGGAGACGCCTCCCCCCCAAGTAGTCCCGGCTGGCTTCAACAGGCCGCCAGACTATTCCCAGCTGGCCTCAGCAGGCTCCCCGCAAAGTCCAGGGTGGTCTCAACCCTGGGGCGGTCCGCGCCCCAAGGGTTGAAGTGTTGAGGCCGCCCTGAGCTGCTTGGGGGTCCTGCTGAGGCCAGCCGGGACTGCCCTTGGGAGCTGTCTGTGCGCAGCCCGAAGCCTTGCTAAATGGGTCGAGCCCTCTGGGTGTCGACGCTCTGAGAGCAACATGACGTCGGGGGGTCTTTACCAGTCTGAAGCGTATGTCCCTATCCTCGTGATTGGCACCACCTTGCCTCGACCCCGCTCCTCAGGATCCCCAGCGGGTTACTGAGGGTGTGCATCCCTAGGACTCTCATCGCTCTTGGGCTGGCCAATCTCAGGGATAGGGCTGAGACCGAGGCTACGTCGGCCGAGGGCGGGGTGCTGGCCGGCGTGGGCGGGGACGGCGCGGCGAGCGCCCCGCAGCAGCAGGAGGGCGCGGCCACGCCGAGTGCCCCCGGCGGCGAGGAGGGCGCCGCGGCGGGGTCGCCCGGCGGCGGCGAGGGCGCGCAGCGGCGGCGAGGTCACGCGGCCACACCGAGTGCCGTCGGCGGCGCCGAGGACGCGGTGCCGAGGGCGCCGGGCGGCGGCGAGCAGGTCCCCGCTGGGACCCCAGAGGAGGAGAAGGTCCCCAGACCTCCTCGCGTCGTGAAAGAGCACGACGGGCATTGTTGCGCAACTTTCGGCCTGCGGGGGCCCCTGCTGGACCCCGGGAGCGTCAACAAAAACGACTCAGGATGTAAAGCCAGTCCCGGGGAAGCGGTCCAGACCTTTGGGGGTCGACGTTTTGAACAAATCACGACGTCGGGGGTCTGGGTACCCAAACCTCTACCCTTCCCCCGTTTTCCGCTTTTTGGGCCTCCTAGGAGGCCCTCGTCGCCACCACTGGATTCGCTTCGGAATCCTGGTCAGAACGCACCCCGGAAGAGGCCCGGGGAGTGGCGGTATCGGTACCTTGTAGTCTCCCCAGGACCGCTGTGGTGCCGCGGCCGGTCTTCTTCAACAGCACCCGGAGCGACGGCGAGCTCTCCAACCTGAGCGAGGGTGCCAACCAGTTGCGCGGGGGCTCCCTTGCCACGCCTGGCACTGCAGGGTCCGTCTTCAGTGCGGACGCGGAGGGCGTGACTCGTGGCCGGACTGGTCGCCACCACTTGTCTGTCCACTCGGGCTCGAGCTCCAGCATGGGAGAAATCAATCGTACGACATCAGCGCAAGGCCTCAAGACATTCAATAAGGCCGTGAGGAAATCTTTGGCAACTAGTTTGGCTAAATCCTCTGATGCTCTCGCCTCTCAGGAGGATCGGAGGCCTCTCACATTGTTTGTCACAAGCCGCTATTTCTCTCTTGCATCTGCATCCCTCATCATCATGAGTACACTTCTGCTTGGCATTGAGACCCAGGTTCTTTCTAGCCTGTCCTACAAAGGCGCAGGCTCGGAGCAGTTGCTAAATGGTTTATTGGCAGTTAACTACGCACTCACTTCCATTTTTGCGGTGGAGGTGGCGATGCGAATCTACGTGCTTAGATCAGGCTTCTTTCTGAAGGAAAGAGTGTGGAATTGCTTCGACGTTGCCATCCTGCTCCTTGCGCTTGTCGAGATTGCTTTGGACATCGGTGTTCGCATGTTTTCAGGTGGGGGTCGTAACCCCTTCGACAATGGTGGAATGGCCAAGATGCTGCGTCTCTTTCGCCTTACCCGTCTTCTTCGCCTCATCCGAACATTTCGCCAGCTGAAGCCCCTGCGGATGCTTGTGCATTCCATAATATTCGCTGGAAGATCTGTTCTGTGGGCACTCCTGCTTCTCGTCATGATCATATACGTCTTCGCAGTCATCTTGACGCAGTCTGTGACGGAGCGTACTTATGGTGGCAACTGAATCGACGATGAAGATCTAGTGCGGTACTACGGGGATCTGTACCGGTCAATGCTGAGTCTATGGATGGCCGTGTCCGGGGGTATTGATTGGAAAGACCTCACCGCGCCGCTGGAGGGAACTGGAAGCAATATGTGGGTGATGCTCTTTCTGCTTTACATTGCTTTCGTATATTTCTTTGTTCTATCGAGGGCGCCTACGCAGAATCACCGCCGCCTCCTGAATATTGGAAGCGCCTCTGTGGCCGCACGTTGTGGCCAGAGTTCGACCAAGCTATCAGATCTTGTGCTCCCCCAGCTGTTGTGGAAACACTTCGGGGGACACGTCGGAAATAAAGAAGAAGAGGAGAAGAGATCTCTTCAGGCTTTGCTGGAGGCTCTCTCAGAGGCCTGTTGGAGGCCTGTTGGGGGCCTCTCCGGCCGTCTTGGGTTGTCTTGGGGCCATCTTGAGCCGTCATGGGTGCACCTTGGGCCGTCTTGGAGACATCCTGCAGCCATCTTGGGCCCACATGGGGCCATTTTAGACGTCGTGGAGTCGTGGAGGCATCGTGTGGGCCATCTTCAGCCATCTTGGCCGTCTTGGGGCTGGAAGACCGATGACCTGGGAAGCTCACGGGTCCTTATAGGGCGCTTTGGAGGCAATCTTGGGGCCGTTTGGAGCAGGAAGGCTGACGACCTGGGAAGTTTATGGGTCCTTACGAGGTGGGAAGACGACCGATGGACTGGGAAGTTTGTGGGTCCTTCCAGGTCGCTGGCGTAGTAGGCCGAATGTCCCTCGGGACATTTTACACGGACTGAGATTCCAGCACGCCGTGTACCCTTTGTGGTACGCCACAGGGGGCGGCGGATCGAAGATGCCTATGGCAAATCACCGCCGATCCCTGCCTTTTTTGGAAGGGCCTCTGTGGCCAAACGACTGGTGAGAACTTGGCCAAGCTATCGGACTATATATAATCCCGGGTCGGGGGTTCACAGGCCCTCCCCCCCCCGAGATGGGATGGGTCCAGGGTTCCACAGGCCCCCCTCCTTCCCCGCCAGATGGGATGGGGGGGGGGACGGCGACGCCGACGCCGACGCCGCCGACGACGCCGACGCCGACGCCGACGTGATGCCGACGCCGACGCCGACGCCAACGCCGACGTGACGCCGACGTGATGCCGACGCCGACGCCGCAACCGACGCCGACGGCCGACGGCCGACGGCGACGGCGACGACGACGACGAACCACCCCACGCCCACAGGGGGAGGGGGGGGTGCACCGGCACCCTTCTCCACGCCACGCCCACAGGGCCACGACCAAGGGGGAGCGATCCCATTCGCGAGGTCTTCGCGAGGCCTATTCCTATTCCTATTCCTATTCCTGTTTTCCATTCCTATTCCTATTCCTATTCCTTCCTATTCCTATTCCTATTCCTATTCCTATTCCTATTCCTATTCCTATTCCTATTCCTATTCCTATTCCTATTCCTATTCCTATTCCTATTCCTATTCCTATTCCTATTCCTATTCCTATTCCTATTCCTATTCCTATTCCTATTCCTATTCCTATTCCTATTCCTATTCCTATTCCTATTCCTATTCCTATTCCTATTCCTATTCCTATTCCTATTCCTATTCCTATTCCTATTCCTATTCCTATTCCTATTCCTATTCCTATTCCTATTCCTATTCCTATTCCTATTCCTATTCCTATTCCTATTCCTATTCCTATTCCTATTCCTATTCCTATTCCTATTCCTATTCCTATTCCTATTCCTATTCCTATTCCTATTCCTATTCCTATTCCTATTCCTATTCCTATTCCTCCTCCCTATTCCTATTCCTATTCCTATTCCTATTCCTATTCCTATTCCTATTCCTATTCCGATTCCTATTCCTATTCCTATTCCTATTCCTATTCCCTATTCCTATTCCTATTCCTATTCCTATTCCTATTCCTATTCCTATTCCTATTCCTATTCCTATTCCTATTCCTATTCCTATTCCTATTCCTATTCCTATTCCTATCCTATTCCTATTCCTATTCCTATTCCTATTCCTATTCCTATTCCTATTCCTATTCCTATTCCTATTCCTATTCCTATTCCTATTCCTATTCCTATTCCTATTCCTATTCCTATTCCTATTCCTATTCCTATTCCTATTCCTATTCCTATTCCTATTCCTATTCCTGTTTATATTCCTATTCCTATTCCTATTCCTATTCCTATTCCTATTCCTATTCCTATTCCTATTCCTATTCCTATTCCTATTCCTATTCCTTTTCCTTTTCCTATTCCTATTCCTATTCCTATTCCTATTCTTATTAATATTAATTCTTATTCCTATTCCTATTCCTATTCCTATTCCTATTCCTATTCCTATTTCTATTCCTATTCCTATTCCTATCCCTATTCCTATTCCTATTCCTATTCCTATTCCTATTCCTATTCCTATTCCTATTCCTATTCCTATTCCTATTCCTATTCCTATTCCTATTCCTATTCCTATTCCTATTCCTATTCCTATTCCTATTCCTATTCCTATTCCTATTCCTATTCCTATTCCTATTCCTATTCCTATTCCTATTCCTATTCCTATTCCTATTCCTATTCCTATTCCTATTCCTATTCCTATTCCTATTCCTATTCCTATTCCTATTCCTATTCTATTCCTATTCCTATTCCTTCCTATTCCTATTCCTATTCCTATTCCTATTCCTATTCCTATTCCTATTCCTATTCCCATTCCTATTCCTATTCCTATTCCTATTCCTATTCCTATTCCTATTCCTATTGCTATTGCTATTGCTATTGCTATTGCTATTGCTATTGCTATTGCTATTGCTATTGCTATTCCTATTCCTATTCCTATTCCTATTCCTATTCCTATTCCTATTCATATTCCTATTCCTATTCCTATTACTATTCCTTTTCCTATTCCTATTCCTATTGCTATTGCTATTGCTATTCCTATTGCTATTGCTATTCCTATTCCTATTCCTATTCCTATTCCTATTCCTATTCCTATTCCTATTCCTATTCCTATTCCTATTCCTATTCCTATTCCTATTCCTATTTCTAGTCCTATTCCTATTCCTATCCCTATTCCTATTCCTATTCCTATTCCTGTTCCTGTTCCTGTCCCTGTTCCTATTCCTATTCCTATTCCTATTCCTATGCCTATGCCTATTCCTATTCCTATTCCTATTCCTATTCCTATTCCTATTCCTATTCCTATTCCTATTCCTGTTCCTGTTCCTGTTCCTGTTCCTATTCCTATTCCTATTCCTATTCCTACTCCTATTCCTATTCCTATTCCTAATCCTATTACTATTCCTATTCCTATTCCTATTCCTATTCTTATTAGTATTCCTACTCCTATTCCTATTCCTATTCCTGTCCCTATTCCTGTCCCTTTTCCTGTCCCTATCATATTCCTACTTGTACTCCTACTCCTACTCCTACTCCTACTCCTACTTCTACTCCTACTCCTATTCCTATGCCTATGCCTATGCCCATGCCTATGCCTATGCCTATGCCTATGCCTATGCCTATGCCTATGCCTATGCCTATGCCTATGCCTATGCCTATGCCTATGCCTATGCATGCCTGCCTATGCCTATGCCTATGCCTATGCCTATGCCTATGCCTATGCCTATGCCTATGCCCATGCCCATGCCTATGCCTATGCCTATGCCTATGCCTATGCCTATGCCTATGCCTATGCCTATCCCTATCCCTATCCCTATCCCTATGCCTATGCCTATGCCTATGCCTATGCCTATGCCTATGCCTATGTCTAAGCCAACCTATGCCTATGCCTATGCCTATGCCTATGCCTATGCCTATGCCTATGCCTATGCCTATGCCTCTTCCTCTTCCTCTTCCTCTTCCTCTTCCTCTTCCTCTTCCTGATCCTGTTCCTGTTCCTGTTCCTGTTCCTGTTCCTGTTCCTGTTCCTCTTCCTCTTCCTCTTCCTCTTCCTCTTCCTCTTCCTCTTCCTGTTCCTGTTCCTGTTCCTCTTTCTCTTCCTCTTCCTCTTCCTCTTCCTCTTCCTCTTCCTCTTCCGATTCCGATTCCGATTTCTGTTCCTGTTCCTGTTCCTGTTCCTGTTCCTGTTCCTGTTCCTGTTCCTGTTCCTGTTCCTGTTCCTATTCCCATTTCTATTTCTAATTCTATTTATATTTATATTTCTATTTTTTCCTATTCCTATTCCAATTCCTGTTCCTTTTCCTCCCTCCTCCTCCGCCTCCTCCTCCTCCTCCTTCTCCTCGCTCCTCGCTCCTCGTTCATCGCTCCTCGCTTCTCGCTCCTCGCTCCTCGCTCCTCCTCCGCCTCCTCGCTCCTCGCCCCTCCTCCACCTCCACCTCCATCTCCACCTCCACCTCCTCCTCCTACTCCTTCTCCTTCTCCTCCTCCTCCTTCTCCTCGTTCCTCCTCCTCATCGTCTTCCTTCTCCTCCTCTTCTTCCTCCTCCTCATCGCTCCTCGTTCCTCCTCCGCGTAAACTCCTCGTAAGTGTAAAGATGCTCCAGAACGGCCTACACGACGGCTGCAGAGGGTCCAACAGGCTTCATAGTTTGTCCGAAAGGGCTCCAAGCTGGTGTACGATGGCGTCAAATAGACCCATGAAGAGGCCAGCAAGACGGCTCAAGAGGGCCTGAAGACGGTTCGAGAGTCTCCCAAGGAAGCCCAAGAGGGCCCCACGACTACCCCGGCCGAGGGGAATCGGGGAAGGACGAGGAGGAGCCACGGCCGGGCTGTCGATTCCGCAGCTTCCCACAGCAGTTGCGCCTTCCGTCCCCGTGCCCGCCCAGGTCTGATGGCCGTCCGCCCATCCCGCCACTCTGCCGAGGTTGGACCAGAGGCCTCACAGATGCCCCTCTGGGGGTCTCTCGGAGCGCCGCTCGGGGCGGCCCCTCGACGGGGGCTCTTTGGCCTCTCATGGGGGTTCGGGGGGGGGGGTCCCTTGGAGGCCACGCCAGGGTCTCCTGGGGCCTCTTGGGTGCTTCTGGGCGTTTTGGGGTCTTGGGGGCCATCTTCTGGGAACAGTGGGAACAGGCTCTCGTGGCCCCTTTGCGTTCCACTGTCTTGGGCCCATTTTGAAGCGCCTGGAAGCCTCTTGGGCCGTATTCGGACCTCCCAGGCTGTCTTGGGGCCTTTCTGGCCGTCTTGGGGTTCTTTTGGGGACCTATGGGTTGTCTTGGGGCGATCTTGGGAGCCTCTTGGGCCGTCTCGGAGTGCCTGAAACCCGAAAAGGGAGATTACCCCAGTGCGACCCTACCTAGAAGTTGAAACCCATAGGAAAGCAGCATTAGTTGCTATGCTATGCTATGCTATGCTATGCCATGTCATGCCATGCTATGCTGCGCTATGTTATACTATGCTATGCTATGCTATGCTATGATATGCTGCGCTATGCTATGCTATGCTATGCTATGCTATGATATGATATGCTAATATATGATATGCTATGCCATGCTATGCTATGCGAAGCTATGCAATGCCATGCTGCGCTGTGCTATGCTAAGCTATGCTATGATGTGCTATGCTATGCTATGTTAAGCTGCGCTATGCTATGCTATGCTATGCTGTGCTATGCTGTGCTATGCTGCGCTATGCTATGGTATGCTATGGTATGCTTGGCTATGCCATGCTATGCTATGCTATGCTAATGCAGCGCTGCGCTATGCCTTTGCTTTGCTGCTGTGCTATGCTATGCTCTGCTATGCTATGCTATGCCATGCTGCGCTGTGCTATGCTGTGCTGTGCTGTGCTGTGCTGCGCTATGCTATGCTATGCTATGTTATGCTATGCTATGCTGCGCTATGCTATGCTATGCTGGGCTATGCTATGATCTGCTGTGCTGCGCTATGCTATGCTACGCTATTCTATGCTATGCTGTGCTCTGCTTTGCTAAAGCTCAGCGAAGCTAATATGAAGGTAAACTAAACTAACATAAACCTAAGCTAAGATGAAGGTAAGCTAAGCTACGATGAAATAAACTAAGCTAATATTATATAAGCAACGCTAAGCTAAGGTAACGTCACTGGGGGAACCGCTGGGCGGATCCTGGGGGAACCGCCCGGGGCGGGGTCCACTGCCTGGCCCTTTAAGCCAACAGGGTAAGAACCCTTCTAGGCAGAGCCTAGGTAGGGAAAAAGGCCAGAACGCTAAGATCTTCCAGAAGCCGTCGGAGCATGAGTGATTTTGGCTCCTTGGAGCCCTCTTGAAGGTCCTCTTGGGGCCCCCTGGGGCGTCTTGCGACTTGTAGGCCTCTTGGGCCGTCTTGAGGCCATCTTCGGCCGTCTTCTGGCACTCTTGCGTCGTCTCGGGGCCCTCTTGGATCGTCCTGTGGCTCTCTTGGGCTCTCTGGCTTCGGGAAAAGTCACGCGGGGCGCTCCAGAAATGCCAGCAATTGGAGGTCTGGGCCCCGTAAAGAGTATTAGCGATATTTGGGCACTCGGTACAGATGGCTCTAAGAGACCTGGTGACACTCCACTTAGTGCCTTTGGCACGGTCGCGGAAACGTGGTGACAGGTGTCTTCTGTCAGAATGCAATCGAGGGTGCCCAACAGGATTTGGACCTTTCGATTGAGGCTCATCTCAAGGAGAAGCAGGTCTACGTTGATCGCCTGAGGCTACTTTTCGAGGAGATGAACGAAGGTTTTGATGCCACCGTCGGTGGGCTGACTGCAGCTGAGCTCCACATGCAGATGGCCAAGCCTAAAGTGCAGTCATGGTTCAAAGCGGGAGAGGCTGTACTGCAGTCGGGCGCACGGATGAGAGAGCACCCGAGGGGGAACCATGCCCTCGGCAGCCGAGCCGTTCCGTCGGGGGGGGAGGACGGGGAGCCAGAGCAGGGGGGTCCCAGACGCCCGTCGTAGGAGTTCTTTTCAAAACATGGGCCGCGTGGCTCTCGGGGGGACCCCGTTTTCGTCCTTGACCTTCTTGGGGGGGCTGGGGATGCGGGGGCCCAGAACTCGGCCCGCAGAGGCACACGGGCACGAGAAGCCAGCCGCATCCACGATTCTCGAGCTGCCGTGCGCGATCTGGGGACGAGTGCCCCCTGGAGCCATGGGCGACAGACGTACCCGTACCCGCGGCCTCGTGAGAGCGGGGCCCCTGGGCCGCGACCCTGCGTACACGGCACGTTCTGTCGCTCGGACGCCCCGCGAGGATCGTGCCCGTGCGATCGCGCCGCCGCGGCCGCGAGTGGGTCCGCCGCCCGTGGAGGCGAGCGCCGCGGGCAGAGCGGGCCGGGCCTGGGGGGCGGAGTCTGGTGCAGCGGAGTGGCTCGGCCTCGCCTCCCGTGCGGCGGACGGCTCTCCCGGCCCTCCTGCGCCGTGCCGTGCCGGCGCGCCGCGAGGCTCGCGTCGGCAGGCTGCGACGCGATGGGGTGCCTGGGGTGTGCGGGGGGGGGGGGGGACGGCGCTCAGGGCCGCTGCCGTGCGCCTCCCCATGCCCTTCCTTCTCTTCCCTCGCGTGCTTCAGCGCGCCGAAAGCGCTGGCTGCTGCGCCGTATCGGCGAGAAGGGCGCGTGGTGCGCCTCATGATGCTTGCGCCCCTCCTTCCCATCCGCCTGCTCAGTAGTCCTCCTTGAATGCCGCTCTCTCTCTCTCTCTCGCTCTCCTGCACGTGCTCCTCCTTAGTTGCCCTGTATCTTAAGCCTTATATCGTCAGCCCTGCCATTGGTGATCCCCAGACTAACCCCGCTTGGTCATAATATTCCTTCTTCCTTCTCCGTCTCTTTGGCCTTCCACAGTTCAGTCTGATTATGAAAAGCGATGCATCTCGGGACGGTCGTGGTGGCCTCTCCCGACATCTCGGCGGACCCAAGGCCTGGGGGGGGCCACCGACCAGTTCTGCGATCTTCGGCAGCGGAGGGCTGGATTCCTCACCGAGCGCTCGTCTCTGATCCCTGTGCCTGATCGTGGCACGGCCTCTGCTTCAGCCCTGAACATTGACGCAAAGAAGTCGTGGAAGCTCTTCAAGATCCTCGACGCGGCTAGCACGGGCAGCGTCACCCTCGAGGAGTTCGTTGAGGGGTGCCTGCAGCTGAGAGGGTCGGCCACACGGGTCGACGTGGAGTCGCTGAAGTGGGAGATCAGAGCCGCGAACAGTCGCGCGGAGCGTGCTGCTGCGAGAATTGCTACGCTGCTCGAAAACATTCAACCGTTGAGGGCCGTACATGGCATGGACCGAGACAGGGCTTCCACTTAGCCTGCTGCCAGTACCTCGGGGAGACCGCCACACAGAAGCGCGATCACACAATAGAGACAACGGCATGATGCTCGTCCAGCAGACTCACTGAGGGACTCACTGAGGGCTTTTCCCTGGGTTGCACTACGCAATGTGATCGGACTCTACGTAGGGACCTGTCACAGTTCACAGTTCGCAGCTCCGTAGAACTCTATCGAAGGAACCTGTCGGACGGACGTAGGAACCTATGGGGCAGCTTCACATAGCCAGACCCTGAGCTCACCTGTCCGTGCCGCTGCCGCCGACCTCGTGTGCAACCAATTTTCCAGAGGCAGTCGGAGAAAAAGCAATACCTATTTGCACCTCGATGTTCATGTTCGAGAGGCTTGCGCCGTTCCGCCGACCCCCAGACGACGAGATGTGCGATTTCCGATCTCGAGTCCTCTTTGGACCTCTTGGCCCACCTTCAGGCCCCGGGCCTTGTTGCTTCCATCTGGGGTCACCTGGGGTCCCTCTCGGCTGTCTGGAGAGTCTGTGAGGGCTCTGTTGGGTACCTCCTTGGACGATCTTGGGGTCCTCTTGGGTTGTCCGTGGCTGGCTTCTGTTGGGCCTTCGGCTCCCCTCGGACTGTCGTGGGCCGTCTGAGGGGCTTCTTGGTGCCCTCGTTGGGCTTTTTTGGCATTCATTGGCCTCCGTCTGGGCCCCATGTGGGACTGTCTTGAGCTGAGAGGCATGGGGGTTCCGAAGAATGCCAAACCACAGGGAGCCTTACGATGTTTGTACGGTTTCGGCCTTTCTGGGGGGCCTCTTGGCCTTCTCTGTCATTGGGCCCCCTTCTGGTACATTTTGAGGCTCTGTTTCGGTCTGCTTGGCCTCTTGAGACAGTGTTTTGGGATGTTGGGCGATCTTGTCGGCCTCTGGGGGCCGTCTTGGAAGTCATGCGGAGCCTTAGCCCCAGGGAAGCACCCAGCAGCGGAAGCAGCGTTGTGTTTGTGGTGGTGGGGGGAGAGGCGGCACATGTCCCAGTGTGCGACGAAAGGGTGTGGGCCCTTACAAGACTTACAGACGTGCTGCCAGGAAGCACCTGCACTCCGCGTGACAGGGGGCTTAGTGGAGATCGTTGAGTTCAGGCCTTGCCCGGCTAAAGCGGGCCCAATGGCGATCCCATTGTAGTGATGACGCGCTGATGTGTGATGGGGACTGGCGATGGCGTCCGACACTGCTTCCTCCTTGGTAATTTTTCCCGTTGAGTGAATTATGCGTGCAATGCGTTTCAGTCTGGGTGCCAAGAGCCATACTTGCAATATCTCGCGCGCGCAACATGGGATTGAAGCGAAGGAGGATGAACTTGAGGATGAGGAAACCGACGAAATGGCGAGGGACAGGAGGAGGGGCAGATACAATAGCCGTCTCCAGTGCAAGTTCTTCACCAACGAGGAGGTCTGCCTGGCGACAGCGATGCCCCTCAGTGCTCAGACAGAGGGCAGCCTTATGTATTGTTCTTGAATTGGTCTCGTTCCTTGTCTCTTCTCCTCGAACGCAGTTCTTCTGGGGGCCCTCAATATTTCCCAACCATCCTGTGGTGTTGGTTCCTCGTTTTGAAGAGACGGTCCCCGCCTTCCACCTAGTACAGCGTTTCGTGGCCTCATAGGGAGCCCCACCGAAGGGCCCAGTGCTACCGTCCGCATGCGTCTCCCCCCCCACCCAGTACAGCGTTTCGTGGCCCTCCTCCTCCCCCTTCCCTGCGTTTCACCCACCCAGTACAGCGCTTCGTGTCCCCATAGGGAGCTTCACCGAAGGTCCCAGTGCTACCGTCCGCATGCGTCGCCCCCACCCAGTACAGCATTTCGTGGCCCTCCTCCCCCTCCTCCCTGCGTTCCACCCACCCAGTACAGCGCTTCGTGGCCCCATAGGGAGCCCCACATGCTACCGTCCGCATGCTCAGGGCGCATGTCAAACAACAAATTCTAAGACGAATGTGCGCGGCGCTAGGGCGTGAGCCACATTTTGAAAACGCCCGCCCTCAATTTGTGAAGCTCTTGCACATTGCCAGCGTAAGGATCGCACAGGGTGGGGGAGTCTCAAGAGAAACGCCCAGCCCGCCCTACCGACAGTACCGGGGTGCGACAGGGAGGAGTCATTTATAAGGAAAATGGATGGAGGAGGATGAGGAGGAGGAAGTGACGCGAGGAGGGAGGCGGATGAGGAGGAGGTGGGGAAGGGAATTTTTGTGAGTGGTGGGGGGAGGGCGGAGGGATGGAGGGATGGATGGAGATGCTGCTTCTGCTGCCGCGCCTGCTGCTGCTGCTGCTGCTGCTTATGCTGATGATGATGATGATGGCGATGATCATGATGGTGGTGGTGAACATGATGATGAATCTGATTCTGATGCTGAAGATGGTGGTGATGGTGATGCCGATAATGGTGACGATGGTGGTGATGACGACGTTGACGATGATGACGATGACGATGACGATGACGATGCTGATGTTGATATTACTGACACTGCTGCTGACCGAGATGAGGTCGATGACGATGGCGAGGTCGATGCTGCTGCATCTGCAGCTGCCGAGCTGCTGCTGCTGATGATGATGAGGGGAATGATGACGAGTGGGAACGGATAATAGGTGAAGGATGGTGGATGTTGATGATGATTATGTTGATGCTGATTATGTTGTTGCTGATGATGATGTTGATGCTGCTCCTGCTGATGAGGAATATTATGATGATGGTGATGTTGATGAGGTTGTTGTTGTTGTCGTTGCTGCCGTTGCCGTTAACAGCGTCGTCGTCGTTTGTGTTGCTGTTGCTGTTGCTGTTGCTGCTGTTGTTGTTGTTGTGGTTGTTGTTGTTGTTGTTGTATGTGCTGTATTTGCTCTTTGTGTTGCATCTGTTGATGTTGGTTGTGTTGTTGTTACTGGTGTCGATATTGTCGTGGTTGTTGTTGCTGCTGTTGTTGTTATGGTTGTTGCTGCGACTTTAGCTGTTCCTGCTGTTGTCTATGATGACAACGATGGTAGTGATTCTGATGATGACATCGGTGCTGACGACGATGATGTTTATGCTGAAGATGATGATGGTGAGGTGGATGATGATGATGATGATGATGATGATGTTGAGGAGAAGGGGGATAACAATGAGGCGGATGATGAAGACGAAGAGGAAGATGAGGATGATGAGGAGGCAGAGGAGTGGACGAATAAGCATGATGAGGACGCTGCTGCTGATGATGTGGTTGTTGATGATGATTATGATGATGACGACGATGATGATGAGGATGATGATGAGGAAGATTATGATCGATACTCATGATGATGACGACGATGATGATGCTGCTGATGATGATGATAACGATTCTGATGATGCTGCTGATGATGATGATGATGTTGATGATGATGATGATGATGATGATGATGCCGAACACGATTGTGATGATGGTGATGATGATGGTGATTATGCTGCTGCTGATGGTAACAATGAGGATGATGAGAAGGAGGCGGAGGAGGAGGATGATGAGGAGGAGCAGGAGGAGGAGGAGGAGGAGGAGGAGTAGGAAGAGGAGGATGAGGAGGAAAAGGACGAGGAGGATGAGGAGGAGGAGGAGAAGGAGGTGAAGAAGGGCGAGTTGAAGCAGGACCTGGGGGGGTGAGAAGTCGGAGGGAGGAGAAGGAGGGGGAGAAGGAGGAAGGAGAGGGGGGGTGAGGAGAAGGAGGTAGGGGAGACGATGAGGAGGAGGAGGTGGAGGAGGAGGAGGAGGAGCAGGACTAGTGTAAACCCCAGACTCGTCAACTATGTAGGCAGAAACCTTCCCTCCAAGCTTCATGCTGTTAGGCCCCCATTGAGGGAACTGCCTCGTTGGGAGACAACCTTTTGAAGACCCTGAAGCTGGCCAAAACACTTGTCTCGGGGCTCCAACGCCACGGATCAACCGTTTTGACGATCCTGAATCGTGCTGGAGCACAATTCCTTGGATTTCAGCACCGCGAATCAACGTAATTGTTGCACCCTCACAATCCGGAGTCCTTCCAAAACACTATGTTTGGTACGTTGACCATGGGCTTCCGTGAAGCCCTTGCAGTTTTTACAACGGATGTGAGCGGCGCCAAAGCAAGAGCCACATTTTGAAAACTAGCCGCCCTCCATCCGTAAAGCTCCTGCATTTTCTTGAACGAGTGTGCGCGGCGCTCAAAGCCAGAGCCACATTCTGAAAGCCAGCCGCCCTCGAGCCGTGAAGCTCCTGCACATTTTTAAGGCGAGTGTGCGCGGCTCTAAGGCGAGAGCCGCATTTTGATGACGACCCGCCCTTCCATCCTCTTCGGTCTGGGGTCACGGTTGATGTCGGCACGGTTTGTTTGTTCTTGTTTTGGGACCCTTGGTCCGCAGCCTCTTGCCCGAGGCTGTCCTGTCACTGTGGGCTGCGCGAGGGTCAGCCTCAAAACAAAAAAAATGGTGAGGAAGTCTCAGGCGAGACGCCCGGCCCGCCCTCTCGACCGGCCTCGGGGCGCGACAGGGAAGAGTTACTCCAGATTTCGTAATAAAAGGGAGGGGGTCTGGACCCTCCAAGACAAGCCATTTCAGACCTCGCCCGTGGGAGAACCCTCCAAAACATCGTCCCCAGACCCCCCAGGCCCTCCAAGATAGCCTGGAAGAGACCCCCCCCCGAAATGAGACCCCCCTCCCTTTATTACGAAATCTGGAGTAGGCAAAAGGGATAGGAATGGGAGAGAAGGTTCTTGGAGTGCAGACCCGAAGGAGTCAGTGGACGCCCACGGCAGCTCCGTGCGGTGTTGACGCGGCGGCGACCCCAGCTTGGGCGTTCAGGGTCGAGCGGCGCCGTTGGCCCAGAAGTGGTCAATCTCGGAAGGCGTACGCTGTCGGACAGCCGCGATCATTCGAGGCTGACGTCATCGCGGCGTGAACTCGCCGTATGTTGGTTCAGAGATGTGCGTCTACCTCTCGTAAGCAGGCCGATTTGGAAGAAGCACCCACCTGGGGAGATATGCCGTGTGTGTATGTGTGTGTGTGTGTGTGTGTGTGTCTGTGTGTTTTTTTCGAGGAGCGCAAGACCATGTACAGCGAATGCTTTGAAAGACAATTTATTCGCAGCGTTTGTCTTGTTGTAGTTATCCGCGATACAAATCCAGGGGCACATTACAAGACCTGTGAAGTTCTTCTTGCCGAAATTCATTATGTGAATTCGTATGCGTTGCATGGCCCCAAGGTGGCACTAGCCGGGTACGACAAGACGGCATTTGCACCAACAGTGAGTATAGTTGTGGTTTCGACGCTGATTTGGATCATGTGCAATGGTGGCAATGTTGAGGGTGGTGAGGATGGATGGCGATGGCAATGTTGAGGTGGTGGTGGTCAAGTGGTAATGTCGATGCTGCG